CGGGTTAGGCTTTTGTTAGGGCCCCGTGCTGGGATCACCTTAAATTTGTCCTTGTTTCCGGGTAAAATTACATCTTTCTCAAGACTGTGGACCTTGTCAATGAAGGATGGTCTCCTTAAATTGGACTTTTTTAACCATTTGTCTTGGAGTTTGAAACAGGGTTCTTCTCTGTCCATTCTTCGGTATCGTTCAACCATTGTTAGGACCACCTTTTGCTGCCTGTTATTGAGTGGTTCGTCGTTTGACAGGACTTTCACTGCAGCTGTGGGTGTCGTGCTTATTGCTTCACATACAAACCTGAGAGCTCGGTTTTGGATGCGATCCAGTTCATCCAAAGCCATTCGGCTCGCGAAGGTCTGAACGGGTAAGTGTTTTGATATCTTTTCCCGAGCTCTAAATTACTAATCATCTGCAAAAATTGCGTTCTCGGATTATAATTCCTCTTGCAAGCCGTACACATACGCTAGGAACAAGGTGCAGCTGAGGAGCGGACCCTTGCGGGAGCCAGTCCTCAAAAAAAAGCTATTCCGAAAGACTATTGCCAACCCGCGTGACAATGGTTCTGTTCCTTAGGAAGTTTTCCACCCATGCGGTCATGTTACCAGAGATTCCATGCTTCTGCAACTTATACATTAGTCCTGTGCGCCATACATGGTCGTACGCTTGCTTGAGGTCAAACAAACTGCAACAGTGTGATTTTTCTTTTGGAGCTAATTTGGCATTGATTGGACAAGACGAATCACCTGGTCCATGGGTTGACGACCCTTTCGGAACCCACATTGCGTCGGTGGTAAGCGCTTGCTTTTCTCCAGAAACCAGTAGAGTTGTCCATCTGTCATTTGTTCAGCTACCTTCCCCACACAAGATGTTAGCGATATTGTCCGTTACCTGCTTTGTAAATGACCTGGTTTGCCCATTTTTGGTATTGGAATAACTATGAATTTCTCCCATTTTTTCGGTAAGTTACCTGTAGCCAGTTTCAGTTTATGAGAGCCACCAAAATCTCTCTCCCCTTTTTACCCAGGTGGGTTTACATCTCATTGTAAACCTTATCAGGACCTGGTGCTTTTGCGTTTTTACACTTGTCTAGAGTGTTGTGCAATTCTTCCATTGTGAGGGGGGTTGTGAAAATCTCTGGGTAGGGTCCAATACGTTGGATACAAGCTCCTCTTTTATTAAGACGACGGAAATTGCGATGCTCTTTCGTCTGTTTGGCTTTCTTGTTCACTTTGCGTCACTCGCCTCGGAACATTTATCGGAATGTGGTGGCTGCGCGTTTATCGACCTTTCACGCGCCAGAGAGATTTCCGAGCAGGTTCCACACTTTCCGACCGTTCTGGAGGTCGTGCTTTTCATATGCAATGACCCATTTCGATTTTTTCGCTTTTTGGACAGCGACCCGAAATCAGCCATAAGTCAATATTAGCCTAGCACGAGTAGCAGGTGTCTTCTTTCTAGTTTCTTGTTTTCGGGATTTCGCTCTTCGTTTCAAGCTCCTTGTTCCAAAAGGGCTTGTATTGCTTTTTCGGTTCAAACTGGGAATCGTCTTTCAAGCGATCTCCAGGATGGTGCCATTAAACTTCTCAAAGGTGGCATCTAAGTCTAAATTGGCCATTTTGACTTGTAATAGTCCGAGTTTGGTCTCGCATTAACTTGTAATATCGCTCCACCTGGGTTTTTAAAAGAGCCAGTGGCTTTTTAACACCTGGTTTTTGTCTGCCCCAAGTCAATCCCAAGCAGAATGGGAAGATGGTCATCCCAATCTCTGCCAGGACTTCGAGACTCTGATTGGCCGCTAGATCGACGGAAATGAGCGTCAGGTCTGGCCGGACTCCGTGCCGTGTCCGGTGTGAAGTAGTTTGGGCGCACTCTTTTCGTCATGAAGCCTAATGAGATTTGTCTCGAGGCAGACCTGCTCCACAGGCTTACCAGACACGTTCCACATGGGGGACTGGGCGTTGAAATCTACCACATTAATCGTTCGCCTAAAGACAGTCTCCTCTGGGGTAGGGATCGAGATCTTGTTGCTGGGAGTGTTGTAAACGTTCGTCACGGCGAAATTTCGCCCTTGCTTCGTTACTTTCACCGTTCGGGTGTCTGTATTCGAATAAGTTTTTCCGCTTCATGACCTCCACCGCGAGGTCATTTTTCATCGCTGTTGTGATCCCTTGGCATCAGCCGCACTTAAAATGGTACAGTGGGTAACCCGTAATATCAAACGACTTGCCGTGGAGCAATGTTTCTTGGAATAGAGCTACATCCACTTCACGTTCATGGAGTAGTTTGGTCACTTCGTGCGTCTTCTGCCTGATCAAACACACGTTACATTGTAGAACAACTAGGGAATGTTTTAGGTGTCCATCCCATCCATTTGGTCACGATCAGTGACTTGTTGGCCTCGCGCGCGCTTGTCGTGCGTCACACACGCGAGAGAGTTCTCTTCACCCTGAGGACATCCACGGGGAGGGGATGCAGACCATGCAACTCAACAGTAGCTCTACTTGGTCCCACCCTGCCTCCCTTCAGTGGGCATCGAGGGCCTTTTAAGGAAGCAAGGGTCGCCAGGGATGGATCTCGTCCAGTCCCTGCCAGTTGATCATGCGTTAATAATGTATTTGACACGTCCATGAGTTTGGGTTTGGGCAGAATCTTCCTCTCATTGAGGAGGAGGTTTTGCGTCGCCTCCCCCCTTGCCCAGTGAGTCATTCGGTCGGGACGTTTTCAGTCAGGACAATGGGATCTTTTAGCTTCGTGAGGTTTTGGCCCCTCCACTGGTCTGCCACGCCACGAAGCGGCAAGATCCCCTGTGACACCACCGAAGCTTCGGTAATGTTGGTCACTGACTAAGGGTAGATCGGTCAGATCATTTAGCGCAGACCTTACATACAGATAATTGGAATTCTTGAGAAAAATAAACAGGGTCAATAATCAGAAAGGTACTTTTTTCTCTTTTATATAGTGTCAGAAAGATGGCTGTCAATTAAGAAGAATTGGAAAAGACCTCAAATCTTCATGGCCAGCTAACTGAATGGAATCTTTAACATCAGGTGGTTCCACAAAATCACAAACAAAAAAATAGAAAAATGGAAATGAATATCGCGGCATTTAGTCATATAATATGAAAGAGACAGAAAAAGAGAGAGTTAACAGGTATAAGAAAACATGACTTTCCTAGCGTGTGATGTTAGGATCCCAAAGTTCTATATATGTTTTAAAGCTCACCCTTGCTTCCGTGTTGCAAAGGTATCTTATGCTCAGCGCACAGGAAATATATTCCTTATTTTCCACCAATAAAAGCATACCCCATGATCTAACATCGGCTTAAAATCATGACGCTTTTACCATTTGTACTATTAATATAAGGAACAAAACCAATATAAAGCGAAACGTCATCTAACCTGAGGTCGGAAAGAAATGGGCTAGTTTGGAGTGATAGGACCCTGATGTCTTTTGGGTGTTTTTTTAATTGGCTGTTTTGGATTCATTCACTATAGATTTTTGTGAATAGAACTACATTTTCCTTAATATGACGATAGAACATTTTTATTGTTTGATTAATATTAATTTTAAAATTTCATTGGTTGGCTAATTTTAATATTTGTATGTGTTCCGCCATTTTTGAAAATGACTGCATGGTGTTACATTCATTGTCTGTATATTATTTTCGGTGTAACCTGAAATAGAGTGATTAAAACTAAATTCCATGAAACCGTACGTTGGGTTTTCAATATTTCTTTATTTTATAATTATTTTTTGCCATTTTGTTTTTGTTAATTTTCCTAGTTTTCAGGGTGAAAATCCTTTTTCCGATAGGACCTAAAGCCTAGATCCAATAGGGTTTAAACCATGGTTCCGATATGGTAAAAAGCCTGGTTCCGATAGGGTCAAAACCCTGGTTCCAATAGTGTCAAAAGCCTGATTCCGATAGGGTGGAAACCCTGGTTCAAATAGGGTCAAAGCCCTGATTTCGATAGGGATAAAACCCTGGTTCTGAAAGGGTTAAACCCTGGTTCCGATAGGGTCAAAATCTTGGCTCCGATAGGGTCAAACCCCAGGTTAGGGATAGATTTAGGTTTCAGGATTCCGTTTTGGATACATTTATGACATTTTTTTATAACTTTTTTACGTTTTATACCTAATTTTAGCAAACATGAACTGTTTTATTTGCCCACGGCCGCAATCTTGGTTGATACGAGCCGTGAACTCGTAAAAGTTCGTGGGTCGTGCAACCAAGAGAGCGGCCATGGTAAAAATGCGGTGCTATCTCTCCAAATTTACCAGAAAATGTATGGTTTGCCTCGGAAACCAGCTTTTTCTCTGCCCGGTCCTGGTTGCCATTAATAATAACATTTACGAATATTCAAAATAACTAGTTGTGTTAAAAGAAAAAGAAAAGAGACATAGTAACATATTACTGACATGGGACAACTGGCAAAATCGATCGGATTTACAGATTTAAAAAAAATAAAAAAAATTATAAATTACAACAGTTGTGAAATAAAACTAAATGAGAATATTAGGGTAGTTTTTTACGGAATATTTAAATACTCTTTTCAATATGTCTTAGAGGAATTTAAACAGAATTCTTGTATGTGATAATATTTGAGCATTTACAAAAGCAGTTCCCATATTTCGTAAATTTAAAATATGTTACCATTATGGTGATTTTACTCTCCTATTAACAGAGTTGTGTCAGACTGCTATTTGATAGTTAATACGTTCAGAGCAGCAGACTTTAATAAGTGACAGGATTATTAAAAAAAAAACAAAAAAAAAACAAAAACAAAGAAAGATGATTTGCTCGCTTGTCTAATTGTCTTTACATTTTTAATTCTAGTAGGGTTACTTATTGTTTACAGCTTTATTTAAGTAAGTAGGTGGGTAGTATTAGATAAGGGGTTAGGTAATTTGGTAGTTAGGCAGATAGTTGGATTGGTAGACATGCTTTTAGTTACAGAGACATCTTTTTAAATACCATAGTTTGTAGCATGTTTGAAAACAATTTTTAGCCAAGAGAAACTCTGAGGACTGTTCCAAGCAACTCCAATAGATTTAAGTTTTGAATCGCTGTTGCAATGATAATCATTACTGTCGGTCAACCAATCTGCTTTTTGCCACGGATTAGTTGTCACAGTTGCACTTAAAATAGTCGCCAAGTCTTCTGAAATAAAAAGGTACACATGCAGCGAGATTATAAAACTAAGGGCAAAGCAATATTTAAAATATATATTTTTTTTAAATCGTGAGTTAATTATTTCAATTTTAAACTAATAATTATACGTGTACAGGTTTATAATTATTTGTATCTTAATTGTGTCCGTAAACTTCTAATAATTTTTGAAGTAAACATATTCTAGCATAATTTAGATATAATTTACTGTAGGTAAATTGATGTGTTTTATTGGAAAGCACTTTTAAACCACACAAATATGTAGCTACTCAGACACAATCTCTATTCAAGTTTTATGATATTTTTAAAAAAAAAATACTGTGGTCATTTATTAAAATTAAGTAAAGTTATAAATAAATAATCTTCCTACGTCACTGGATCGACCCAAAGGGGGACCCATCATGTAACGTACTCTTTTAGTTTGGTTGTCTCCCTTTCTTTTTCTCACTGTTACTCTGTATCACTCTCTCTCTAGTGTTCGTTCTTATATCAAATTTATCTCTTCTTTAAATGTTATACTTATTTCTTCCATTTATTTTTTCCCTCTCTCATTTGACACTAGATATAAATATATAAAAACCTTATTAAAACAATGTCTAAATTATATATTTATGTTATTTAATTTCGATCTTCTTCAGACTGACACGTGACTAGAATCAAATTGCTACTCACGGTACTGGCAAGTCGAACCAAACCATCCTCTTGCACACTTGGCGTTGTTTAAACACTGGCCGCTTGTGATATCACATTTGTTATTTTCACAGTGGCACCGATACTTACAACCTTGTCCAAACCAACCCCTTTCTGTACAGTGAGCTATAGCAAGAAAATAACAACAGTATCAGATGCAAGATAAGTATAACAGGTACAAGATACATTACATGTTCAATTAAAACACCTTATATATTTCCTAATATTTAATGAAATAGAGACGGATCTATCGTTTTCAAACACATCGCTCTCGAGTAAGCTTAAGCGTCGGTCCTAGATTACTGAAAATAAAGGTGTAACTTTGTTGTATCCATAGTTACACTGTTAAATAATTGGGATTTTAATTTATATAAGTATTAAAAGAATTTCGTTTAAAAAGTATTTGCATATATATACATATATCTTTATATATGCATAGTAATATGATTAATTTTTTTTTTTTTTAAGTAAATGGTAGTGTCAAAGGCAAAACTTGAATAATTAGAATCAGACAAATAACTGTATAAAAACTTACATTGGCATTTTGCAAGAGGCCAACATAGTGAGAAGAAAATCAATGTTGAAATGATATTCATGTTATAGAACTCCTTTTTTTTAAAAATTAAATGTATTCTTTCTTTTATGTAAATAAGAACATTTCCAAATAAAGCACAGTAAACTTTGAACTGTTAGGAACTTCTTTGTTTTTCATTGACATGTTGTTGATTGTCTTTGTAAAAGAAAAAGAAACAATTACAACACTAAAAGTGATCCATAATAGTTCAACACATTTAAAGTAGTTAGAGTATTCTCAAATAACAAAATAATAATAATAAGGTCCTCAAAAGAAAACAAAGTTCCAAACAAACACTCGATATAATTCTAGATATCCCAGCCACTGATAGCTATTACATGCCTTAAAATACTAGTGTCCATCCATTTGTATGTACTGCTACAAGGATGTTAAATTGGCGTTGCAATCAATTTACGAGGGGACGAAAATAACCTGCACATTTTTAACGTATTTTTAACGTAAAGGTCATCGTTACTCGTCAGCTATAGACCGTGTTATTTTCAAAGCTCACGGGATTCAAAATGACTTGTGTATGCCCGGTCATTCGTCCTATAAAGTGGTCTTCTTTGAACACTCTAAACAGAAATATTCCAGTCCGTTTAATCAGACAAATTTTTAAATGGCTGAAACATGGTGCTCACCATATAGCTACTGGTTCTCTTAAGTCTCTTAACTGAATACTGCACAGTGCTGTATAATGAAAATATACAGTTAGACCCAAACTCTTTAATATCCCTTAAGCCACGGACAATAAGATCTACCATATTATCTACGCAGAAGTGGGAGAGGCAGTCCAATAACTTCAAATAGGAAAGGCCACAGGGGTGGATAATATCCTTGCCGAGTTGGTGAAATAAGGAGGAGAAGCAATGATAAATGACCTAATGAATATTGCAAAAAAAATATATGGCTTACAGGGGAATTGCCAACATCATGGAACCTATCGCTCACCATCAACCTCCACCCCCCCCCACACAAAAAAAGTAACCTACAGTTATGCCAAAAACTATCGCACCATTAGCCTAATAAGCAAACCAAGCAAGGTCATGCTACAGTTATATTGAAAAAACTAAAACCGTATGCATACAAAATTATATATGAATTACAGGTGGACTTCAGGCAAGGACGGGGTACTGCTGAGCAGATTCTAAACCTCCAAATACTATTTGAGAAATATGCTCAACACCAACAAAACCCATGCCACGTCTTTGATGATTTCAGGAAAAAATTCGAAAGGGTTTGGCACGCTCCTTATTGGCCGCAATGAGGCACTAAAAAATCAACACACAACTAACAAGAATGATATGCAGCCTCTATGATAAGGCCAACTGTGCAGCCCTCTTCAACAATAACATCGGAGAATGGTTCAAGACCACGGATGGAGTATGACAAGGCTTCTTGCTCTCCCAACCCTGTTCAACATCTTCTTAGAGATAATTGTGTCATATGCTATGGAAGCGCATTAAGGATTGTCAGCATTGGTGGTAGAACAATCACCAACCTTTTTTTTTTTTTTTTTCGGGTGACTTAGAGGGTCTGGCTAGAACCGAAGAAGAGCTTGGAAACCTTGCTAAGAGTCTCGACAAGACTTCATCGTCCTTCCCCATACGAATTTGTGCAGAAAAGAAAAAATTGAAGATAATTGTGTCATATGCTATGGAAGCGCATTAAGGATTGTCAGCATTGGTGGTAGAACAATCACCAACCTTTTTTTTTTTTGCGGATGACTTAGAGGGTCTGGCTAGAACCGAAGAAGAGCTTGGAAACCTTGCTAAGAGTCTCGACAAGACTTCATCGTCCTTCCGCATACGAATTAGTGCAGAAAAGACAAAATTGATGACGAATAATACCACCGGCATCTTCAATGAAATTACTCTGGAAAGGAAAGATTAGAGACTGGAGACCGCTTCAAATACATAGGAGCAATATTCTCATAAGAAACATCCAAGCCGGAATTGATGTCCAGGATTGCCCAGAACACAACAGCACATAAATCAGGCGGATGCACACATTTGTCCTCTCCATTTTCTTATACGCTTGTGAGTCCTTCACATTAAGTGTGGAACTTGAAAGAAAAAAAAAAGGCGTTGGAGCTGAAATGTTTCAGAAGCATACTTGCAATCTGCAAAAGAGACCATAACTGTAATGAACAAGTGAAAGAAGGGATTCATCAAGCAATTGGACATTGTGCTGACCCCCTGGTGACTATAAAACTGGAATGGTGTGGCTGCGGGACAAGAAAACAAGGGCTTGCCAAAGAAATCATGCAAGGCACAAAGAGAGGATGGAGAGGAAGAGGAAGACGGAGAAAAATATGGGAAGATGACATCAAAGATTGGACAGGACTAAAACTAGGTAAAGCTATGCGAGGTGCAGATAACAGAGAGGAATGGAGGAGGATCGTTTTCATGTCATCTGTGGCAACCCAACCACACCAAGGAGTAGGGCACATGATGATGATGATGATGATGATGATGATGATGATGAACTTAAACATATTGCTCAACGTATAGTTATGTATTCTTTAAAGTGTCTTAACTGAAACAGGGGACTCGCCACAGGGTTAGTGTTTCTATAAAGTGCCTTAGCTAAAACAAAAAAAATATTAGGATAAATTTATTTTAATACAAGAAGATCTTTTGAAAGGAAATCATAAATACATTAAACAACACACTTTATCCCAATCATAATAGGATTTCTTAAATTACATTTAAGATACATATGGATAGATTCAATAACCAGTCCCTATTTTATCAATTATTTGTAAACTTACAATCGATTTCTCTCCATTCTTGAACAAGATTCGGATAGGGATTTATTACCAAGTAACATATGCTGTCAAATTGAAATAAAAAGTGAACTTGATTTTAAAGGTAGCACTCACAGCAAAGTTAGATTTACTCCGCCCACATGCACTTTTGTTCCATAATTTTTAATTTTGTTTTGAATTTCATAAAATTTTAAACATCGCAGGAATGCATGGAAGTCAGTATCATTTTTTAAAATACACTCATCCCCTTTAGACAATTAGTTCTTACCATCAGGACGTTATTATCTGATAAACAGTCTGTCCTATATCTTTATTTTTTATATTAATATCTCGTGTTTCAGTTGTGTATACTAGTTTACTATCCATTTTCTGATTTCATAATTGAGTACTACATCTAAACAATGCACGTTATTTTTATCAAAGTTTTTTGTTTTTTTTTCGTTTTCTTTCATTTAATTAAAATATCAATATTTAGTTAAAAATGATATTTATTACCATAAGTCACGATATTTATTGTTCATATTTGTTCAATTTGTTTAAGGCAATGGTAAAACGTCAGGCGTTTTCTTTATATTTATTTTTTGTTAAATGCATCAGACTTGCCCAACTTTATGTTGATGGTTTATTTTTTACAGAAAAGTGTTGAGTCTGCACAGAAGAGAAGCGGTGTCATGCCTCAGTGACGAATTGGGATCGAATAAGATTGATCACAAATTTCCACAAAATGAAAAGGTGGTTCATGAAGCTTTTACTTTGTATCCAGTACGAATACCATTTAATTAGGCTATAAAATATGTGTATTGATCATAGGTAAGTTTTAAGTAAGGGTTAGGAGTATCTATTACTATTTTGACCAGCATTTGAAAAAAAAAACTAGTTTAACAAACTGAATGACTCTTGTAATGCAACTCAAACAGGTTACTTCTAGGCCGACTAACAACATTAGTAATAATAAAGTTTAATAACAGGAATGGAGTTGAAGCAGGCTTTATTTTTTTTAAAGTAATTCCATGGTGGTCATCCTTTGTTCAGCTTCAGAACGGCAATATTAAAGGGAGCGGTTGATGATGTGCTGAGTATTTTAATAAATATGTTTGTCATTTACTCATCTGATTAGGCCTAACTATGCATTAGAAAAGCATAAACCAGCAACGGGTAGAAAAATAGAGACATTTTTCTGCCAGAAGAGTTGGGGCAAACTGGTTGATTATAATGGTAAGGCAACATAGTTGTAGACGAGTGGTTGCAAGTATCCGGTAAAGAAGTGGGGCAGTATAGCTGGTAGAAGATCGCGGCAATATAGGAGTAGAATAATAGGGTATCAATATTAATCAATGAATTTTAAAATTTAAAAAAAATAATAATTATTCTTTCTTTACTGGGAAAAGTAAGAAATTATTACCGGCTCCAGCTCCGGACAAAAAAAAGACTTCTCCAGTGCTCCGAATCCCTGATAACAAATAACAATTTAAAAATTAAAATCTCCAGATTTCAAGTTTTTTTTCATTATTACATTTACTATATGTCAATTATCAAGTTGTATTTCCGTGGCGACTCTTATGTTAAACAAAGGTTGATTAAGAAAAAAAAATCAATATAATGGTGATATATTTTTATATATTTTAATGATCAAAAATAGGATTAAAATTTAATTCCTATATTACTCATAAAATTATAAAAAATACATACATTATAAGATTACTATTACATAACCAGTGATATTACAGCTTATACGTTTATATTTACCATGCATACATAGTGTCACATAGATATAGGCTATATACAAAGCTAAATAATTTAGGCA